TTTTCCTGCTGCAATACACAATCACCCTGTATCCTCTGTGTCCTTTTTCTTCCCCGTTTGTACTACTGAATCCAGTTCCTGGGATTTGTCCTTCCAGCTCCTGTTTTACTACCTATGTACATACTCTGTCCCCTGCTTTTTTGACTGGCAGTGCTGATTTCCAGTACAGAGCACAGGAAGCTTCTTTTGAAAACTATGCAGTTCTGTTGGCTCTGCTGAGAGCTGAAGAACAGTGTTTAGTGCTGAGCTGCAGCTACACAGTCACCTTTTGTGCACTTCTCAACATGAAGCTGTGACTGTCCAGCCAGGTTACTTGCCTGATGGGGCAGATGCTGTCAGTGCTCAGGCACGCTGGCTAGCATGTACAGCTTCTCACCTGCAGCTGCAAGTTATATGCCAGCTGCTTTTACCCAAGTGTTAGGTTCCTTCTTCAAAGCATCAAGGTCCTTGGTTATGGGGAGAAAAATATCTCAATTTTTTTATGACACACAGCTTTTTTTATGATATACAGCTTTTTTGTAAGCTGTTGTTAAGAAGTGGGGAGTGGTGGTGTTATAAACCCAGTTTGATAATTGCAGAAGGTAATTTCAGGGTTGGTTGGTTTTGGGTTTTGTTTTGGTTTTTTTAATATTGCTGACTTGGATGCTGTCTTCGCCATCCCTGTTGAAGAAGAAACTATATGAGATAAGGCTCTTTAATAATTAAGGTGTGACACTCTAAGGTAGTTGTAGAGTGGCATGCTGTGCAATGAAAGGTTCCTGGGATCTCTTTGGGACAGCTTACTAATACTGGCTGTGCCTCTGGTATTATAAGAGAAAAGGGTGATTCCAGGTGCCAGCAAAGATCTGTGTGTGAAGAGAGACTCCTACTTGTAACACAGTGAAATTGTTTCTCTTCTCCTTGTCTCATGGTTTTGTTCACCAGGTAACTAAAACCGGAGTAAGGTCCCTGCTATGCTGGTTAAGCATTGTTAAAGCATAACTTAAGCATGCCTACTACGGAAAACTAAAGTAAATAAAAATATAAAAAATCCTAGATAGCACAGATTGCCTTTTGCAAGTACTTCTTATACTTGTAACTTGCATAATGATGTACAAGTTCCTGAAATGCCTGCAGAGGAGAATCTCTTCCTATTCTCTCAGCTGTTAATTTTTGACATGCCTTTGGTTTGTATGGCAGCTCTTGGCATGTGCTGTTTTCAGGGTTAAGATTTCTGGTTGCATAGTGAACCCCGTTTTTTTAGAACTGTAGTCAAGAGGAAGTCTGAGCTGTGCTGCACTCTGGCTGATGAGTGTTGTCCTCTTTGCTATATCAAGACCTGATGCATTAGAGTGAAGAACAGTGCACCTGGTGAAAGGAGAAGTGGCCGAGTCTCCTCTTACTGCTGGTGATCCCTATGAAGTGACTTGAGAAAAGTGTATGAACAGGACAAGCATGTCGTGGATCTCAAAGCCACTAAGAAGTAGCTGCTGCACAGGCTGGGGGCTTGCTGTGAACACATTTTCTGTGGTAAATGCACTGAGCTTAGTTTCTGTTCTGGGACAGTTCAAAGCAGTATTTTTTTTTAATAGGTCATATAGCCTTTGTACGCAGGTATGTTAAGCTTGAAGAAACTTAAGGACCCAAACTCACAATTTGACACCTGTGAAAAGCATCTGAAGCTGTGGATAGAGTATTCCTTTACTGTCATCCTAATGTATCTACATCACTTACCAAGGAGATACATGTATGACTTTGAAGATGTTTCCCTAATCTTAAAGGGTCTCTGGAATTCAGAAACAGCAAGAGCGACTACTAAAGATTGCCTTTTATTTGCTACAAAAGACATTTTGGTTACTGAGAAAGATGCTTGAGATGCACCCTAGGACTCCAGTTCCTGTACAAGCCCTTCCAGTTGGCCCTGCAGTATTTGGCACGAGTGGCATCTCTATCATTATTTACTGAGATAGTTATAAATCCTAAGCAGCTCTTGTTTGTCATTGCAGATCTTTGTTGCCAATCATAATAAGGCAGTCAGGTGTCAATTCCCCACTTGGTCTGCAGTTCATTCTCTCTTGTTTTTCTGTTTTTTCCCTTTTTTTGTCTTTTTTAACTAGTAATTCCAACAGTCACCTGTTCAATCAGAGCCTGTTTGACCAAGTTGAGTACATAGATGAAATGTAGTCAAATTAAACTTCAGGGCAAGTCAGTAGGAACAACTCTGAACAACTTGTTACTACAGGTGGTGTTAGCCTGTGAGGGGATCCTGGCAGTCTTGTGTCTTTGCTCTTTGCTAGTAAGATGTTCTGCAGTGTTGTAGATTACGTGATAGCCAGTTAATATTAAATGTTCACAAAGTGATGATAGAGGTGGCAAATTTTAGTTGTGGGTTGTTTTTTTTTCTTAAGGGGAAAAAAAGGGATAGGAGTCTTACAGTGGACTGGGTATTGTTTGAGATAATTATGATTTATGCTGGAAGGGAAATTGTCACAGAGGAAACTGAAGAGCAGAGTAACCCCAAGATCTGGTTTTGGGAGCAAGTATATTAATATTTTCGTGAGTATTCTTGGTACAGAAAGTAGGAGAGAACTTGTGAAACTTGCTTGGTGACACTTCCCAGCTCCATCCCCCTGTGTCGGTACAATGTTAGAACAGAACACTAGACTGAATGACAATAGCTAGTGTAGTCAAGCAGATTGAGAGATCATAGCATGAATTTATGCACTAACAGGAATTTCTGCTCTGGTTATTTGCTTTGACTGAGCCAGCAAAGTAATGCAGCCAAGAAAAGTGGAAGTTGTCCCAGCATGCAGCAGCAAAGTGTTTTCACTGGGTGTAAAGGTCTGTTCAAGGTGTGTTATGTGAAGCATTGATGAGGTTCCAGGTAAGTGTCTGTTTCTGGGTGGTGAAAAATGCATATTCAAATTGGAGCTGATGGACAAGCAGGAGCCAAGAGGATCAGGGAACAGAGGGCCTGTCACAGGAAAAACCTCAGATTTGGCTTGCATGGCTTCTGGAGAAACCTGAATGTTGGAATTTTCCAAGGCAAAAAGTCATATAATAATGGAAATACTGTACTTTTGCTGTCCTATAGAATGCTTTATTTCACTATTAAAATAGTATTGCTTCCTGGCTTACGTGACAATGTTTGATACAGATCATGGTGATGGTGATTATTTTCACTGTTGCTTGCATACTACTTTCATGTTTCATTCCAAAATTTCAAGGTGATCAGTGCCATCAACTTGTTTTCTGAAAATTGTACTCTGGAAAGGATGATGACGTGGAGAGGATTATCTCATTCAGGGTCTTAAAGAGTTGGTTAAAGCATTTTTTTGTACGTTCTATGGTGATGATGACCAACTACAAGCAATCTCCTACTGCATCCCTGGGTCAGGAATAATGGCTTAATTTTGAATTAGTAAGAACGTTGTGGAGCACAAATTCTGCAGGAAGAATACTGTAAATCTCTTGTTCATTTCATTGTGCCTCTTTAATGGCTTTGGAAGAGAGAGGAACCTTGTTCAACTTGAAGGTGGCTGGCTGACCCATTTTTGCTGGCAGTATGCTTCCCTGCTGAATTTCCCTTGGGTTTTTTTTTTAAACATGTGGATTAGACTGATAGCACTGATAGCTTGCTGAAGAGATAACTTGATCATGCAGCTGCAGATAAGTTTTAAAAGAACTCCTGCCATAGAAGAGGTAGGTTCCAGTTCTTCACTCAGATTTGCATTATGCAGGGTTCTGTATCCCTAAAACTTCCATCCACAAGGCTTAACCATACCTTGGTTTGGAAGCAAGAAGCATAGCATGTGGATAGTTGCTCATCATGATTTGCTTAATCTTCTGCAGTTAATTAAAAGGTGATATGACAGTAAAACACACTCATTTTTCCTTCCAGGCAGTTTAAGTCTGGACAGCACAAAACCCTTCCTAGTAAGAGGTGGAGAGAGCTTGATCCCTTTAGATGTGGGGACTGATGAAACTCCTTGTTGTAAGGCTGTTCCTTCTCTACCAGCCCCCACATCAACATCCAGCTCCCTTGGGAACAAAGGAAGTACTGAGTGAAGTGAAGCCTTCTGTGTTTCCAGAGGACATGTTCCATAAGCCTCTGTTTCATAGCTGCTATTACAGTAAAGATTTCTCTTGTCCTAAGATAGAATTAAGTGTATTAATTAATTTACGGAACAGAGGAGCAGTCGTAGTCAGGCTCATCCAGAACCTGTTCGAGAAAGAATACAATGTGTCTGTGGTGTGGTTGGCGTGCAGGGTGGGGATGACAACAAGTAGAGCTATGAAATCCTGGGCAGCTTGAGAGAAGGAAACTAAGTTGTCTCTGTGCCTCTGCTGCAGTGCACTATTTGTAAATTAATTCAGAAGTGAAGCTAGTGAGGTGTGATCGTTCATCTTGAATGTTGACGTATTTGTCTACGTCATGGGCTTGAGTCAGGAGTAAAGCATCACATGCTGTGCCTAGTAGGAGTGTCAGAGAGCTCAGCTGTTTAAAGTTGCTCTTGGTGCTTACTGTGTGTGTTCTCTCTCCAGCTGCTCTTGGTGTGCAGCAGCCATCGCTGCTTGGAGCCTCTCCCACAATATACACCCAGCAGACGGCGCTGGCAGCAGCAGGTCTCACGACACAAACTCCAACCAACTACCAGCTCACTCAGACAGCTGCTTTACAGCAGCAGGCTGCAGCTGCAGCAGCTGCCCTACAGCAGGTAAAGAGAAAGGAGCATTAGCTGCTGACTGTATGGACTTCCAACAGTGTACAACACTGGCTTTGTAAAGCTAATGTGTCTGGGGGAAAGGCAGGATGGGAAATGGGGAACATTGCAGTATAAACCTGTTTAAAAAAAGAGTGGGATTTTAGGTATTCAGCTATCAGTAGTTGTATTCATCTGTGAAGCTGGGGATTTGGGCTGTGGAGGTGGTGACTTTCTGCTGTTGAAAGCCTTTTGGGAAAAGTTTTTCTGCACCTAAAATTGAGAATCTTAAGTTCCAAGTACCTTCCATTGCTATATGTATCTTTAACAGCACTTTGCATGATTTCATACTGTGCCCTAGATACTGTGGAAGGCTTAACAAAAATTGCTGATTTTGTCTACAAAGAGTACATCAGAGTCCACTCTGAAGGCTAAGAACACTTACTATGAAAGTAATATATAATGCTACTATTATTTATGTTTTGTATTAGAGTTGTTAAATGTGAATAGTTTCTATCTAAAACCTGCTTAGCAGATAACTTGTGTTTGGTATTATTGGGCTAATAATACTTCCTGTTCATGAGATATTTTGCTTTTATCTGTTTCAGCAATATTCACAACCTCAGCAGACTCTCTATAGTGTACAGCAACAGGTTTGTCTGATTTTTACTGTGTACATCACAAATAACTTTAAAAATCATGTTGGTTGTGTGTCTTGTAGGATTTGTCTTGGCAATCATCCTCGTATGGGAAGTTGTCAAAGAAACTAAGTAGTATTTTTGATAGTAAAAGTGAACTTGAAGTTCATAAACTTGGAGAGATGTATCCAGAATGGACGCCTGCCTACCTTCATGCAAAAAGGAAATTTAAAAATACATACTAATCCATGAGTACACACTTCCTGCTAAACTTTGCTCTAAACAGGGCCATGTATCTTAACTGCTGGAAAGATGCTGTCCCCAAAAAAAGGTTCCCTTTTACTTTTTTTCTTTATGGTCTTTGAACCTAACAATATTTTGAACATGGAAATTACAGGCCTAAGCTTCTCCAGCTGCCAAAACATTTTTTGGTATTGCTGTTAACTTTCAGTTACACAAAACCCCCCCAGCATTTCTGCTCACTGGATAAACCTGTATTATACAATCTTAAAATTAACCACATGAGCACATTTTAATGCATGTGCAGGCTGCTGAAATGACCAAACCCTAAGGACTTCTAAGTGACTCTGATTAAGCAGATTAAGCAAAAAAAATTACTTACAAAGAGGAGGTAAAATTGTACAATTTCCTAAAGCATATAAAATTAATTTATAACTTTATTTATTTTAAGTTGCAGCAACCTCAGCAGACCCTTTTAACTCAGGTTAGTTTGGCTTTATTGTTTGGTCTTCATCCCCAAACACAGATAATTCAAGAGTGCAAATTTGTGACACCTTGGGTAGTTTAATCTTTAAAATGAGCTATGGACATTTTATTGGTACAGGTTTATTTTATCCAGGTGTTAAAATATGCATAGCCTTGGTTTCAAAAATTAATGGCAACCACTTTTCCCTTAATCTTGGAGGGAATATGTTTGTTGATTCCATTACAATTTTTTCTGGTTTGAACTTCAAGTGTTCAGTTGTTTTGCAGTAAGCAATAAACTGGGAAAATCTTTCTTTCTCTTCTTTGAGAAGGAGTTTAACTTTGTGTGTTAACAGTATTTAAGTATGTGTATAGAGAGGTTTAAAAAGAATCCTGCTGAGCTTGACAGGTTTAAAACGTGCATCCACTTAACACACTGCAAGTTACTCTAGTTCCATTTTCACTTAACCTTTTAAAAATGCTTTAAAAAAAGGTAAAAATAGGTTACTTGACTACATTATCTTTCTGTGCTCTGCTTTCGTAAGAAGGCAAGCATGTGAATTCTTGAGGAAGAGTTAGTGTTAGCCTCAACCTTTCTGACTCTAAAATTCTTCAGTTGAGATATAAATGGAGAATAATTCCTAAGCACATATTTCTAGCAAAGTTAGGGACTTCTCTTCAGCCCCACTGCTCGGGTTACCTGTAAACAATCATGCAGTCTTCATTCTTTTTCTAGACGACATGTATTTTGGAGAAGCTGACTTTTTTTAAAAGGAAGATAAACAAAGCCAGTTATTATTTAAAAAAAAAAAAATCTTAAAAAAAACCCAAACACCAAACTTCCATCTTCTGAAAATCTCTGTTCAGTATAATTGCATTAGAGACATTGCAAACTCCTGCCTGCAGAGGTAGAGGAACTGTTCCTTGTAGTCATGTCAGCTGGTGTCAAGATTTATAGTGTGCTTTATTTTACTTGCAGCCAGCTGTTGCACTTCCTACCAGTCTCAGCCTGTCTACTCCTCAACCAGCTGCTCAGATAACAGTTTCTTACCCAGCACCCCGCTCAAGTCAGCAGCAAACCCAGCCACAAAAGCAGCGCGTCTTCACTGGGGTGGTTACTAAGCTACATGACACATTCGGTTTTGTGGATGAAGATGTCTTTTTTCAACTTAGGTAAGGAATACAGACTTGCCTGTAGATGTACTCTGTGCTACCCCACTAAATGAAAGGCTTAGTTGATTGCACTCTGTTTCTGTGACTGCAGGTAGTATGTCTTTTTTCTGTCAATGCTGAGAGTCGGATGGTCTAATAAGTTAATAGGCACTAGGACTCAGTTCCTTTATATGAAGTTTTAAAAAAAAACTTAATGCAAAACCCAACGCTGGGAGAGTTGGAAGCTATTAATTGCAGTATTTGTGGGTGATTAAATGCATATAACTTGCTGTATGCCTATCTTAACTCAGTACTGTTTAGGAAACTTGTGCTTTTGAGCCTAGGACAGGAATTAAATTCCTGTGCATACTCCAAACTGAAGCAGATAGTAATTCCACCACATTTGGGCATAGATGCTGTTCCTCTGAGCTTTTCTAATTAACTTTATCTACTTTCTCTCACCTTTAAATGTAACTTGCAAATGCGAAACTAGCTAATTAAAACTCACATTATGTTTTCTGTAATGTTTGCAGTGCTGTTAAAGGAAAGACACCTCAGGTGGGTGACAGAGTTTTGGTAGAAGCTACTTACAATCCTAATATGCCATTCAAATGGAATGCACAAAGGATCCAGACACTTCCAAATCAGGTATACGGGGTTACCCAGCCTAGCTTGTACTGCCTGCTCCTGGTGAAAGCTCCCTGACAACTCCTTTTCTCCTCTGCTGTTAGAACCAGACGCAGGCCCAGCCGCTGCTGAAGACCCCTCCGGCAGTCCTGCAGCCCATGGCGCAGCAAACTGCCTTCAGCGTACAGGCACAGCCCCAGCCACAGTCCTTGCTGCAGGCACAGATCTCAGCAGCTTCCATCACACCCTTGCTTCAGACACAGCCTCAGCCACTGCTGCAGCAGCCACAGCAGAAAGGTGCTCCTTTAGTGCACAAAGTTTATTGTGGGCCTTCTGTTGTTGAGTGTGGGATGGTTAGTCTTTTTGGAGTCAGAAGACTGAAGTAGCAGTTGAGATAATGTTGAAAAGATCCTATAGAATTTTCAGTTTCAATATGTGTCTTCCTGCAGCTGTATGCAAGGCATGTTGCCTGCAATAGCTGAAGAATCACCTGGTTGGTGAAATCCTCATGCATTCCTGGCCAGATTAAGATTTCATAATTTAACAGCAAATTCAGTGTAGTTTTATTGTGACACTTTCACAGACAAGTTTGGGAGTTGATTAATGGCAGTGTAGTTCTGAAGCATCTTCTGGAGCACTCAACAGGATCAGTTTTGCACAGTTGTAGTGTTACAACTATTATTTTTATTTTTGTGTTTTATCTGGCCTATAGCATTTGAGAGAAGAAACACAAGAAATCTAAAGACAAGGTTGCTGTGAGGTCACCTCAACTTTAAGAGGCTGAAGAATCAGTAATAGGATTGATAAGAAGATAAAATTAAGACTGGTCTTCCAGTAAAAGCAAGGGGAGATCTTAAGCTGTCATCTACTCAGAAGTGTTTTGGATAAATGCTTATTATAATCTAATTACTGCTAATTCATTTGGTTTTAGTAATGCTTGCTTCATTTACAATCAGTTGGTTAAATGTCTTGAGACAGCACAAGTATGTGCTGGGGGATTGATGCAGCAGTATAATAAATTGGTTTAAGAATAATTTTTGGGAAGCTAATTGTTTTACCTATTAATAGCCTCAAAAATAAGCTTTAGGCATCCTTTAGTTCAATGACTAGGAAGTATATCTTAAAACAAGTTACTTTTCCAAGAAGAGGCTTTGCTATTCACTGTGATAGCTTCTGTGTATTAGGTTGTATTAGCTTCCATTTTATGAGGAGGCTTTTAAAACAGCTTCACTGTTACTTGAGGCTCAGTTTGCATCAATGAAGAGAAGCATATGTCTTGATTTTCTCTGGAGGGGTTATTAGTAAGTAGATTTATTTGACTCTAAAGTTAGTTTAGAAAATGTACCCAAGTGAAACAACAGCCAAGCAGCGATCTTGTGAATCTTTGTTTCAGGTGGTTTGTTACAGCCCCCTGTTCGTCTAGTTTCACAGCCTCAGCCAGCTCGAAGATTAGACCCACCATCCAGATTTTCTGGGAGGAATGACAGAGGAGGAGACCCTATGCCAAACCGAAAAGATGACAGAAGGTATGTTGGAGAAGACTAGACTAGAGCCCAAGCATTCTATAAGACCTGCCTTGAAACAGAGCAGAGCTGCTTGCTCCAGAGTGAGTCAGTGATACACTCAAGTGGCTTGACTATTTGAAATTAAGGAATCCCATCATTGGTCTCTCTTATAAAGAGACACTGAACTGAGACAAACTATGAGGAGTTTCTCTCTTTTTTTGTGAGTCATATCTTGACTGGTCCAACTTCTGTTGTGCTATAAACCTTTTTGTGTTACTAGCATGCAAAAACACGTGTCTTGTGTGCATTTTTTAAGTCGTGAAAGAGAACGAGAGAGACGTAGGTCCCGGGAAAGGTCACCTCAGAGAAAACGCTCCAGAGAGAGATCACCCAGACGGGAGAGGGAGAGGTCGCCTCGCAGACCGCGACGCGTTGTTCCTCGCTACACGGTTCAGTTTTCCAAGTTTTCATTGGACTGGTACGTTCATAATGCCAGCTGTTTACCTACATTAACCTTAAAAAAAGATCAAGTATGTAATGCCTGAGAACCATGTGTAATAAACTTTTTCCATGGTCTTTGGTTTTTTTTGTGAATGCTACTGCAAAATACCTTTATAACTGTTGAATAAATATACCCTAAAACGCAGACACCTTAAATGGAAGAGTGTTTAGTAGTTACTTGCTTTTAAGCTTCAATCCATGACACTCTAACTTAACCATATTGCTCTTTAAATTTTATATATATACTGTTAAATATAAAAATGTTGTATTTCCAATTAATATGCCTCTGAAACATGTGCTTTAGTAATGGTTCTTTTATTGCTGTATCTTTCAAGTCATGTTGTTTGTTTCAGCCGTAGCTGCGATATGATGGAGCTGAGGAGGCGTTACCAGAACTTGTATATCCCAAGTGATTTCTTTGATGCTCAGTTTACATGGGTGGATGCTTTTCCTATGTCTAGACCATTTCAGCTGGGAAACTACTGTAATTTCTACGTAATGCATAGAGAAGTAGATCCCATAGATAAAAATGCTGCTGTCCTTGATCCACCCGATGCTGATCATCTATACAGTGCAAAGGTTTGTACAAGTTTCCAGTATTATGACTTTTCATTAGTTTTTTTTTTTTAACAATAGGTTGAAAAAGTGAGTATAACTGAACTAAAGAATATTCAACAGCCATTTGAGCAAAATACAGCATTATTAACTTTTCAACAAAGAGCTAGTGTGTAGAGCTTGAAGAATCATGACTGAAATTCGGCTTGTTTCTGTTAATAGAGCTGTTCTAAGTCTTGTTTTTGCTGAGGTCTCTTCCATTCTCTGCACCCAGTTGCACTGATCTGATTATAGGAAAGAAAGCCATTTCCTGCCAGATCTCTGAATGTGTTTCTTAGCAATTAATTCTGATTAGGTAATGGATGTCCCCTCCCCCCTTTTTTTTCTTCCTTCAGGGGTCCTTTCTGTGCAGCTTGTGCTCTTCTGTTTAGTTGTATTTTCTTTCTTTCAGATCCGTCTCAATATTGTTTTGTTGAAAGTAGATTGAGATACTGGTATTCTCTGAATGTCAAAAAATGCTGCGTCAAAAGTTATAATGATGTATAAAAGACCTCAGTCTTCCTAAAACCTGTTCCATGTGAAAGCTCTTTCATTAAAATAGGCCTGAGATTTCTAGTTCAATCTGTTTTAGAAGCACTTCATGTTAAAGATAAGTTTAGAAACAAAATTGCATTTAACTCCTATATTTCTGAAAGATTTAACTTGCCTTTTGGGTATAAAAACTTGGAAGCCTTAGCTCAAGTATCAGACATACTGTTTTTTCAGTCTGTTGGTTCAGAACAAGAGCTCACTTTTGGATGGTTAAGCTTGAAAATAAATTCAGTGACTGAGGAAATAGCATCTGTTCTCAGAATGGTAACCTGTTTAGAATAGAAAGTGCTGTGGTTAGATTTGACTGGGCAAAGGGAATGCGATCAGGATGTAGGTGAATGTGTTGGTCAGTTCTCTTCTGACTGTGATGAAATGAAAGGAGACAGTGAAATCAGAAGTGTACTCTGTATGCTTCTTGGTTTAGGGTGATAGAAGCTTCTTGGCTTATAGTGATAATGTGCAAAGCATGTTGCTTTTGTATGCTTTCAGTGTAGTTTTTCTTAATTAAGATCACATCTATATGGGACAGAGGGAAATTAGTCCTTGGTAAACATTTTAACACTCAGCCCTACAATTTTATTTTACCTTCTTCTGATTTTTTTGGTGACATTAAGGAAAAGGTACTGGTATGTATGTATTTGCAAGTTGAGGTCATTGTTTACCAGTCATAGTGGGAGACCTTCACAAGACTGATCTGACTTACACAACAGGTGATGTTGATGGCTAGTCCTAGTATGGAAGATCTCTATCACAAGTCATGTGCTCTGGCTGAAGACCCCCAAGAACTTCGGGATGGATTTCAGCATCCTGCTAGACTTGTAAAGGTAAATATGCTTCAATGCCAGACACTTTAGGCAATAAAGGTTGGTTATACAGCTTTAAGATATTTATTGAGAGGAGAGGAGCCTGTAGGTAGTTGTATGATGGCTTCTTTTTTCCTTTGAGGAGACTTATTTTTCCAGTTGATAGGAGCTCCGTCTTCACTGCTTCCATTTTTACTGCTTTCTTCAACTTAGTCAAACTCAAACAATAGATATTTGAAGAAACCTATATGAATGATGTAATAATTAACTTCGTTAGCTTTTTTTCACAAGCACTTAGACTTTTTTTTAAGGGCTCAGCTGTGAAGAAAATACAAATGATCCAACAGTTAAGTAACCGTTGTACTGAGTGAAATTTAACTGTTGTTAAACTGCACAACCTGTAAGTGCTGTGGTGTTTCAGGACAACACAGATTTGTTTTCCAGTTAAACTCCATCATCTTAAAGCAAATGGGAGTACTTGAATTTATAGATTAAATGCTTTTGTGGTCTTGTCTTTCGTAGCTTTGCATTGTCACTTTTAAGCAGGAACGTTTGTAAATCTGTATCAGAATGAAGATACCATTTAAATTAGTATCTGTTTGTCTTCTTTTGTTAGAAAGCTTTTAATTGCAAAGGCACAAGGCTGTACCAGTAAACTTGATGAAAAGTCTTGCAGACAAGAATGAGTGATGATGTTTTAACCTATTCCATTTCTGAACACTCTGTGGAAAAAAATAACTGAACTCGTTCTTGACTGACTTTCATTTTCAGATTTCAAAATAATGTGACAGTTTACTCATGGATTTCAATGTGTGTGCTATGAAATATTCTTTGCACTTTGGGAAAATTACTTTTTACCCCTAGCGGGGGAACATTCAGAAGACTCTTTTTGTCTAGTTTTTAGTGGGTATGAAAGGCAAAGACGAAGCTATGGCTATTGGAGGACACTGGTCCCCATCACTGGATGGACCTGATCCAGAAAAGGACCCTTCTGTGCTGATAAAGACGGCTATTCGTTGTTGCAAGGCTCTGACAGGAATTGACTTAAGTGTGTGCACACAATGGTAAGTAGTGTACTGCAAAGCAAAATATACTATAGAAATACTTGTCTGTTACCAGGAGCTAAAAAAAACCCACAAAAAACCCAAAAAAAAACAAACAAAAAGAAGTGGAAAAACATCTTTGTCGGCTGCTCTTGGTAGTGCAGGTAAACTACTCAAAGGATATGTGGTCCTGTAATAAGCTTGATTGGTGCCAACAGTGCTAACTACTGCATCTAGAACTAATTAAAAATTCTGGATTTATTTTGACATGCTGTAATTTATTTTTTTTTAATGAATGTGTGTTGAAAACTTTTCATTTTGTGCATAGCTGGAGGAGATCGTCAAGAGAACTTCATTTCATTGTTCTTTTGTTATAAATAAATAGCTGTTCGTTATATAGCCATATTTTCTCTTGATGAGTTTCCACCCTGTGTTAACACTCATCGTGGTTTTACTAATACAAGGAAAGCCTATTGTATGCTAAATTTAAAGTGCTTCAGCTACTTCTATTTGCACATTAAATCTGTGTGCCAAACAACAATTTGTATAAAAAATAATTATATTGGTTTTCCTCCTTTTCAATTGCCATACCTTTTTACAGATGTGCCAAAAAGAGAAAATATGGCTTCCATAATTTTTTTCTTTAGATAAACTTCAAGGTCTTGCAGCAAAGTTTCTGTACTTGATGTGCTACAAGTGATCTAGGCTCTTTAAAATGTATTGTAGAATTTTTTTTCCAACATGCTTCTTCCCTTGCAACAGGTACCGTTTTGCAGAGATTCGCTACCATCGCCCTGAGGAGACCCACAAGGGGCGTACAGTTCCAGCTCATGTGGAGACAGTGGTTTTATTTTTCCCGGATGTTTGGCATTGCCTTCCCACCCGCTCAGAGTGGGAAACCCTCTCCCGAGGATACAAGCAGCAGCTGGTCGAGAAGCTTCAGGGTGAACGCAAGGAGGCTGATGGAGAACAGGCACTGAACGCTAATCCCTTTTTCTATTTCTGCTTCTCACAGGCACAGGAACACAGGCACAAAATGCACACCACATACTACACAACATACATACATAGGAGGAACATAACTGGTAACAATGACTGGTAAACCAGCTTTCAGCAGTGTAGTGAATGTTGGTTTTTATTTTTATTTCAGCTAGTTCACTAACTTTAAATGTGTATTCTGATACCCAAACGGAACCAAATTGTGCTTATGATGCGCAGAAAGTTGTTATCATAGACGTAGTTGCTGGAATCTGGAACCAGTTGTTGAGTGAGATGCAGTTTATGAATAGCTGTCTTCAAAACATTTTGCCATTTTCTAAAATTCCTAAATTCTCTCTTGTGGCCAGTTTGAATTGTGGTATTTGAAATTGAACAAACTGTAGTCTGAAACATCTGCATTTCAGGCCATGTGGCTGATCAACATCTTGGAATAAGGGAAGGTCTGATTGAATAAAAAGAGTAATTTTGGGGATTAAATATCTGGGGGGAGATCACACACTGTGTGGTTAATGGAGACCGGCAGTGTCTGCGTAACCCCGATATCCTTTGTGGTGTTGCTCATCACCCTTTTGTGTTCCACAGATCTGGCTTGTATTGACTGAGTGGCACTGTGATCATTTATAAAGTGGTAGAATGTGTGTGTGAACTTGTCTAAACAATAACTTTAGGAGAAGACTTATCTGAAACAGTTGTGACCTTGCACAGATCAGCAACAGAATTTAAAAAATAACTGATATGCTTTGCAAGCTTTCTGAATGATAATTTCTAAATTTTATTTGTCAGGATGAAGAGGAAAAGGATGATGGGGAAGCCAAAGAGATCTCTACACCTACGCATTGGTCTAAACTGGATCCAAAAACAATGAAGGTAACAAGCAGTTCTCTTAAAATTTTATTTCATCGTACATTTGAATTCTCAGGGTACAGACTGAAATACAGATGTCTGTTCCCTTAACTGATCAAAAAAGTTCAGTTGTATTTTATTATCTTTGCTGATTTGATAGTTATTAGTTGTCATACCACAGTATGTACGTGATTTTAGTAAGTGAAAACAGCTAATTGAAACTATTCTAAACTTCAGAACTTTGTACATCTGGGATGTTTCACATGATACGTGAGCTGGAAAATGAAAATGCTGCAGTAATGTGCTCATATCCACTTGCATTTAAAAATGTGGCATCTAAAATAGTTTTAAAAGGCAACAATTATACATAAGTGTCAGGAGACGTAACAAGTTTTCTCAAAAGGCTTAATCATCATAAACTACTATAGGACAATCTTTTTCCCACCCTTGTGAAAAGTCCTTCAAAAAGGGGTTCTTTAAGGAGAACACAACTCTAAATGTAATATGTTTCCTCTGTAAATCTTAGTGTTTTTCAGTACAGATTTTAAACACACGGTTGACTTTTCAGTGCTCTTAATTTTTACTTCACCTCTTGTGCTAATCAAACGTTTTTGCAGTGTCACTGGTACCACTTACAGAGCTTTTATTTACCAGGTAAATGACCTTCGTAAAGAGTTAGAAAGTCGAACCCTTAGCTCTAAAGGACTGAAATCCCAGTTGATAGCTCGACTGACAAAGCAGCTGAAAGTAGAGGAACAAAAAGAAGAGCAAAAGGAGCTGGAGAAATCTGAAAAAGAAGAGGAAGAGGAGGAGGATAGGAAATCTGAAGATGACAAAGAGGTTAGGTTTTGGATGTATTTAATTCTTATTAAATATGCATAAATATTGAAATTGTACATATGTATGAAAAGTAGAGGAATGTGCCTGGTTGTGTTGGTATTTTGTAGTTCTTGGATTACTATACTGGGAACTCTTGCTGTAACTTGAGATGCTGAACTGGAATGAAATATTGGCAAGTTGGAATTTCTTAGTATCAGCAAAGTCAGTTGAAATGTGCAGCTGCACTATGGCATCTGAATGAATGCCTGAATTAAGTGTAAGGAAAAATAAATCCTAAACTTCCAGGAAGAACTAAGCTTGATAACAGGGAAACACACTTTACAAGATCTTAACTTTTTTAACCTACATGAAAAGCAGCTGCTTAGTTATACTGGCTTTTAGTAGCATACAGGCCTTAGGGAATTACCAGTAAGCAACCAGTAAGCTGCTTGGTATTTTACCTTTTTTAAGCTTTTTGTTTGATTTGCCTCTGTTGTATCTATACAGATTGCATTTCCCATAATCAAAAGAGTTGAGTAAATTGTCATCTGACAATTGGTAAAGCTGTGTTGGATATCTTTGGAAAGATAATGTACTGAAGTCTTTACTCTTCCTATGAAAGGAATAAGCTTACTGTACAGCTCTGAAGACACCCCTAGACAAGTAATAGGCCCCTCTGGAGCATTGACTGCTTTGCTAGTTTACATGCCATTTCTTGAGATGAACTAGCTTGAGTACTTGCAATGACAAGTAAATATGCTGTGGTTAGCAGCAGAAGATAGTTGGAGGGTGCTCGTTCCTCTGTGGGCTAACAGCACTGCTCATTCTGCTTTGTGTTCTGGTCATCTTAGGTGACTGTTGCAGTGAACACAGAGTGAGTTCTGAAAACTCTGGTCTCTGAATTGTCTTTTGTGTTGCATTCAGCAGCTTAGGCTTTCCTTCACTTTCTTCAAAGCAGGAAGTCCTAAAAACTAATATAGAGGCTGAAACTTCAGCTTTAAAATATGCTGCCTGTTGTTTGTTTGGGGTTTTTTGCCTCTTTAGGAAGAGGAAAGAAAACGTCAAGAGGAAATGGAACGTCAGCGGCGGGAGAGACGATACGTCTTGCCTGATGAACCAGCAATCATTGTACATCCAAACTGGGCAGCCAAGAGTGGGAAGTTTGACTGTAGCATTATGTCTCTTAGTGTTCTTCTGGACTATAGATTAGAAGATAATAAAGAACATTCCTTTGAGGTAATTTACCTATGCTACTTAAATTTAGCCACTCTAGTTTATTTTAAATTCTATGTGATGGCTGCAGTATTCTTAAGTTCTAAAAGTTTGTAATGGTGAATTGGGTGAAATGGCAAAATAAAGTTTAAATACATTCGTTTCTTTGTGCAATGCCTAGAAAAAATTGTCCAGTGTCTGGCGTATGGTTTACAATAGCACTATAGTCACTGTGGTATCCAGAAGAAATGTGCAGGTTTTCAGGCATGGATCTGAGTTTATAATTTAAAGATCTAGCCTAGGTCAGTCTTAAGTTACTATAGTACAGGAAAGAAGCATGTTCATAAAGTTGTTTAAGGTTTCCATATTCAGTTAGACAGTAAAAAATCTGACCCTACATAAAATTCTGACATGGTAGAAGTTGATAAGGTTGCACCTCATAGCTATTTCATTGTTAGTGTACACATTTTGAATATATGTTTTAAAACCGTTTGTCATTTCTCTTTTCATTATTCTTTACATGCAGGTATCATTGTTTGCAGAACTCTTCAATGAAATGCTTCAGAGAGATTTTGGTGTCCGAATTTACAAAGCACTGATTTCTCTCCCAGAGAGGGAGGACAAAAAAGACAAAAAAAGCAAAAAAGATGAGAGAAAAGAAAAAAAAGAAGAAAAAGATGATGAAACAGATGATCCAAAACCTAAGAGGAGAAAATCTGGAGATGATAAAGACAAAAAAGAAGATAGAGACGAAAAGAAGGTCTGCACATGGCTCATATGAGACTCATATGGATCAATATTAAGCTCTTCCTCTTTGAATTTTACTTTTATTGCTTTTGAAAACTCAGGCCTTGCAGTGTTAGTTAATTGATTTGACTTGTTAATCTATTTAAATATGCTTCAGTCATACTCTGATGTAAAAATTTTACAGGTGTATTGGGTGGTATTTTAAAATTCAGCTATATCACATAGATTTGTACTTGGTGTATTTAAGTGACTAAATATAAACAGAGGTAATTTTTTAATTAATGGTAGTGAAGTTTTTACTTTCCTATTTTTTAGTTTTGACTGGATAAATTTTTAGGAACTTTTGTTACAGAGGGAAGATAAGAAGAAAGATGATTCTAAGGATGAAGAAGAAACTGAAGATGACAATAATCAAGAAGAATATGATCCAATGGAGGCAGAAGATGCTGAAGATGAAGATGAAGGTATCTTGAATTACCAATTTTGTGGCTTTCAGAAAAATACTTTATTGCTGCTGTATGTTCTTTCAAGCTGGAGAACACACTGGAACTAGGCAATTTAACATTTCATTATTAGACTAATTTTATTTTACTAATTCTTACCAGTTCTACTTTAAATGTAAGTGCCATTATGCTAGGCATTGTATGAACATAGTTAATAAAAACTAGCTGTGGTGCTCAAAAGTAAGGCATGCATATAGAAGTGGTTTTATTTTTTTCAGAATGCAGACCACTCGCAACTCCCATTGAAGTCAGTAGGAGATGTGAGTATTCAGCACCTCTGAAAAACCAAGCCACTTTTAAGTGCCTAACTTCCTATTCCTCAGTTCTGAAATGTCATCCTGTTTTTATTAGGCCAGAATGTAGCGTGGGGTGCTCTTTACATGATGTTAGGAGGAGCTGATTTCTGTTTGGGTGGAGGTGTCTTTGCCTGAAGAAATGGGGAAAAAGGGGCTAGGGAACTCTCCTGTCTCCAGGGAGCAGCAGAAGCCCTCTTTCCC